ATGCATAGCAAATGCATTATATAAAAAATATTACATGATACATGTAGTTAAAAATTAATTTCTTGTATTTTAATAATATTTATTAAAATTAAAAAAATTTTGAAACTTTGACTTTTATGATAATTGGTTCATCTTTAATTTGGATGGAACGGTTAGCTTTTGTGCATCTGTCACATATATTTTGTTATTTAACATTACTTAAAAATGAACAGGGCCCACAAAATTAAAGTGCCAATCAACCAGGTTGCCATCAGCCGATGTGGCTGCAGGCTCTTGTCATAAACCCATATTAGACCACGTGGCAGTTCGTGAGCACACCCCCATGTCACATGCCTGCTGAATTCTAGATTCGGATGCTTATACTTCCTATTAGTCGCCCAAAAAAGTCCAAATTTTCATCTGGATAACTTTAAGGAAATTCTTAAAAATTCTCATTAGAAATTTGATAAAGGAGCAAATTTTCTTCCATGTGAATTACATGCTTTGATTAATACAATAAATAACCTTATGTGTTTATGAATAAATTGATTACATCATCATTTAATGATTCTTTAATAGACTTCCTTACTGGAATTTAGCACCCCTGCTTACTGGAATTTAGTACCCTTACGAAGATTTCATTTGCACCCACATTCTCAGACTAAGTCCTTATTTTATGATGTGAGCTGGTTCCAAATCTATCCATGATGACTCCCTAGAATTTTGCTGTTATATAAAGTCACCATCATTGAATTGGCAAGGCTGTGGCTTTGTCCACTAAGTCTGGAATGTCCTGCATTATTTACCTTAGAGGTGTTACTTAAATTTTAGTAGTTAGTATGTAAAATAACTCCATCGATGTATTTGCAGATCATTACGTAATAACTCGAAGAGTAAAATCATTTGATCCTAAAGGTAGTGTAAAATTCTTCCATGATGTCATGCGTGAATTGAAGCAAGACAGGTTAATTGTACATAGACATGAGACACTGCTACAACGCACTCCCTTCCACTACATACTCCAATTCCCATATTTAGAACTCAACCATTCCTTATTGCTCGAGCTACTTGATCAGTATGATAAATCTGATAACTGCTTTATCATTGCCGGACATCGCCTTGAGTTCAAATCAGAAGACATTGCACTTATATTTGGTCTTCCAAATCATGGAAAAGCAGTTAGGCTAAAGTCTAACGCCAACAAGGATTTCTATCACCGCATATTTGACAAGGAAGCAATAACTCGATATGAAATTGTTTACCATTTGAGGAGGTATGCCATGGACCAGTCTGATGATGCTGTTGAGGTTTTTGTGGTTCTGCTCATCGGATTATTTATCAGTACAGTCCTCTTACCATCAAGCAATGCAAGTATTGTTTCAACCTTATGGAGTTGTGTTGAACAAATTGATCATATTTACGATTATGCATGGGCACCTCTTGTGTTCCGAGAACTGCTTGTTGAGATCAATCGTGCGAAGAGCGACATGGAGGATGAAGATGCTTCTGATCACCTTTCTGATTATGCATATGGGGGTTGCTTTCTTGCATTGCAGGTAATTTAGCTATTTAAATAGTTTAAAGTGTTTTTTTTATTTCAAAATCTATACCTTAATGCACTTTCATTTCCTTAACTTACTCATTGTATGTCACTGGTTTGCTCTGTTTAGCTATGGATATGTGAGATTGCTTGCCTGGGAAAAGCTGAAATACAAGGTTGTTGTCCGAGAATTTTAGGTTGGGAAAGAAACAACATGGATGGAATTTTAGAGCAATTCAGGCTTTTGCAACCATCTGATGTGAGATAATTAGTTCATTGCCTCTTCCTTTACAAATTACCAGTATAAGCATCAAAATTCATTTCTTTTGTTATTGGTGTTGATAAAACAGATAAGATGTGGAATAAATCCACTTGAGTCAGAGCGCCACCTTATTGATAGCGATGTACTACTCCCATTTGGCGAGCAAGTAGGTCAAGTGTCTTTCCCCTAAATTTTTTCAAAAGGATGATCGAGATGCACACGAATGGCAGATGCAACCCAGCACTTTGAGCAATTTGGTAATTTAGTCTTGTCGTAATCAAAACAAAAAAAAAATGTGTTAATTTAGTTAAAGCATAATGATTCAAATGACTAATTTTATTATGCTTTTCAGAATGATGAAGAAGGCACTGAACAATCAATATCATACAAGGATGAACATGAGCTGGAATTACTTCGTCAAATTAGTGCCGAGCAGGACAAAAGGATTTTGAGATTGCAGGGAGAGTTGAATAGACTTAAATCACAAAAATTTGATCATTCTATACCAGAAGAATCAGGTACGAAGGTTGTAGAGTCATTGAAGGATGATTATAGAATTATGCGCCAACAATCTGACAGGAACAACCAACATTTAAAGCTACATAATCCTAGAGTTTCCACCTTTAACAACATACATGTGCAAGAGGAACAAGGCGGAACTTCTGTTATTTCATATGACAATGGATCCATTGAAAAAAAAGTGAAGAAAATAGTTGAAAAGCGGCCAACAAATCATTCTCCATTTGCTTCCTCTTCCATTCAAACCAAGCCTAAAGATATAGAGTATTCTCACTCTGGCCTCACTGCAAGAGCTAAGCTTCTAACGAGCAAAAGCCTAAAAAATGCAGCTGTGAGGTCTCCTCGCCCAACCGTGCAACTTTCAGAAGGAGAACATGCCTCAATTGAAAAGGAATTAAAGAAGAGGGGTGAGAGACAACCATCGAATGTACGACCTTCTTCTTCTATTCAAGCCAAGAGAAAAGAATCAATAAATGATCAATCTGGAATTAGTACGAGTAAGCATACTGCATCGCGTAGTAAATCAAATTTCAAGACCCGAGTCAATCCCCGCGCCAGTTTCCATGAGGATAACTGAGCAGATGAGATACATTTTTCAAAAATAATTTGTTTGCAGTGTTATTATGACTGGCAAATTTGTTAATGATACATGCCTGACAGATAAAAAAAAGAAAACATTGTATAGAGTTATAGCCCTAAATAAAGTGGTGTCGTTTTCATGATAAGGACCAATTACATCAATTGGAGTTTATTTGCTTCATTTTTGCTCAATATGAATGCTTATAATTGTTTGAATTTTATTTGATCTCTTGTTTATTGACTTGATGATTGAACTGCTTAAATGACATGCTTCACCCTCTCTGAATTGTTGTTAAGTGAATTCATGCATTAGATTTTGAATATTTCATCATTTTGAAAGATTTTGAAAATTTCAAGAAGATATTTCTCATTAAAATTAGCAATTTTTATAATTGAAGAAATAAATATTTGAAGTTTTGTAACATCATCTTCCATTTCTTAGTTTTCAGTGCCATTTCCGACTCATTGTTTCACTAATTTCATCACTGTTATACCTTTTCATTCTTTTTATGACTTGCTCAATCATAAGGGAAAATTCATTTTGAAAAGGTGGGTAGTGATAGAACATGATGATATGTTTAATTCATGCATTAGGTTAGGTTAATAATAAATGTTGATTAGTTGATAGATTTATTAACAATGAATTTGTAGTCTTGTATTCTAACAATAATATTCATTTCAAGAATTGGGACAATGAAATAAAATGAGGTATGTTCTCCCTATTTGTTTTCTCAACCCTATTTTTCTCATCATATTTTTTTTTTAAGTTTCTAACATTCTCAAATTGTCATTTGACATAATATAAGAAATGAGATCAAAATAGAAATCCATATTTATTAAAATGGTGACATGTACGCAGAGAATGAACCATCACAATTCTGATAGAAACATAAATGGGTTAAAAATGAATTTCTCAAATATATAATAAATGAAATAACAAAATATAAGAATTAATATATGTTAAGGAATATCTCTTTCAATTGATTTAATCTTTTTTATTATTGATTTTGATCTCTTCTAAACCTTCTTCAAACTTCAAAATGTCAGTATATGTTTCATAAGAGAGCATAGGCTAGAAAACCTCAAGCTATAAATTTATTATTAATTTCAATCCATCATATAAATGTTATATGAAAAATTGAATAAAATAGTTACGATAATTATTTTTAGAGCTGATCAAAATGAGAAAAATTATTTAGAGCATTTATTTATCTACCAAACTATTATTTTCCTACTTGGTTTAAACACTTAATCATTGTTATAATAAAAAAAAATGAGTTTAATGATCATGGTGATAGGTTTTATAAAAGTGAGTATTTTTTTTCATTGTATAACAATGATTGTGTCTCATGAATATTATTTAATGAACAAACCTTATATTTATTCTACGTCCAACATAATGATTTTTATCATATCAATAATTTGCACACGTGAATAATTGAATGGGTAAAACAACACATTCATATTGACTTTCTTTCATAATATTTATCTTTATAAGAAAATCAACCAAAATAACTTAAACTTATATGATCAACATGATCCTTTTTAGTCATGGGATTAACTATCATTAATTCAGTTCTTTCTTTTTTTAATAATAATAGTATTCTCCTTAACATGTTCCCTTAAAGCTAGGTACTTGAGGTTAATATATTTGATTCAACTACCATTCATTTAGCCAAAAATACTAAATTATTATATTAAATCTTCAATGTCTTAGATATATAATCTACAAGTTTAAGTCTAAAAACTAAACTCATCAACCATACAAAATGTGGTGTAATTTCAAAATAGAATACAAAACCCGCTTCCATAGGGGAAGTAAAAAATCAATGTTTTTGTGGTGCTCCTACAAGACATAACTACACCAATAAACAGTGTAATATATTTCAGAATTAATACAACCAATAAAGTTAGAACAAGAGTAGCCAATCACCTCCAAATTATTAGTCTGCATATATATAAGCATATAATCTATGCCTCCTTAAAGATCTCTCTTAATATTCTTTGCATCTCATTACGAATACATTTTTATATTACTCTGATATCTTCACAATATTCCAAATACAAATATTATCTTAGGACTAATGCAAACTTGAGCTTATATTAAAATGCTTCAACTGAAGCATATGAAGTATTTTTGATTTCCTATTTTCAGAAGTCAATCTTCAAGCTTTGACTTAAACTAAATTTATGATACCGCACAATGAGTTATTCTTGGTGAATAATCTTTATTTTGAATCTCTCAAAAATTTTGCCACTATAGGTCTCTTAAGGTAGACTTAAAATGTCTTTAAATCTATCTCTTTTAATTTTAATGCCAATGCAATAAGAAGCATCATATTCTTAATATCAAAACTCTTAGAGAGAAATTATTTCATCTCACATAATAAATTTTTATCATTAATTACAAGTAAAGTATCATCCACATATCGGACTAAAAAGTAAACTTTTCTTCCATTAAATTTCTAACATATACATTGATCAATAATATTTTCAAAAAATCCAAATGAAGTGCCCGTGTCATAAAATTATAAATACCATCAATAAAAAGTATATTTTAATCCATATATAGATCTATTAAGTGTGCACACTAATTAATCACCATCACTTGAAAAAAATCCTTCAATTTATTATATATAAACCTCCTTTTATAGCTCTCGATTAAAAAATGCAATTTTCACATCCATTACTTGTTACTCCAAATCAAAATATGCATAAATATCATGATCATTCTTAAGGATTTTTTTTCAAGTTATAGAAAAAAAATGTCTCATTTAAGTAATTCTCTTTTATTTAGAGTAATAAGTGTTGCTTTATATCCCTTGATGCTGCCTAGATTTCATCTAACCATAAATTGGAATTTTTATGACTCATGGATTGTGAAAATATTTTATGGTTTTTTTTTTTAGATCCACTAATAAACCATTAGGAATTATTTATCCTTTTTTTCAGCAAATATTCTTAATTTTGAAAAAAAAAATTTCTCTTAATGAGTTAGTTTTTAACTATATCTAATATTTAATAAATAGTTATATGTACTGGTTTATTTTTAACAACTTTTGGAATCTCAATTATTAGTTGTATAACATCCATTTGGATTTAAAAAGTTTTATGGATCATAATCAGCTTATCACTTTAAATAGTGGTCTATGCAGCTGTAAATTACTTTTTAGAAAACTAAATATTAGATCACTCTCATCGATGAAGTCATTTTCATAAAAATATTATATTTATTGATTCTATTATTCTAGTGTTATAAGATGAATGATAATTCTAATACACTTTAACTTTTTAGAATATCTAAAAAAAATATCCACTAATAGTTCTCATGTTTAGCTTCTTATCTTGTAGATTATAAACTATAATTTCACATGGATATACCCATATGTAGATTAGTACTCTTTTCCAATTCTAGATTTACAATACTATGTTGTTGTGTTTCTTGAATCCAGTAATTCAACATAAACAACAAACATTATAGAGTGTGATCAACATAATCCACACTAGATTCATTACACTGTTAACTCTCCATTTTTAATAAATGATCCTAGGGTAATTGAGATGGTGCTACACTAAACTTACTCACCAATGACGACAATTATTTTTTAGATTGATTTAGTCTATAAAGATGACAAATCTTGATAAAGGAAATAATTGGGGTTTTAGTGAGTTATGCTGAGAAAAGGATCTGTTAAGAACCACAACCCTTACTGAAACTTACTAACCAAAGTAACTAATTAAGATAATAACATTCCACTGATTTGAGGCCATTCGACCTGACCACATCCTGAAGGTTCACAAGCAGGATTGCTCCGACACCAATGGGTCAAAAAGGAAAGCATAAGGTTTTTAATGAGTCATACTGAGAAAGAGAATGTCAAATGGCAAATCCTTCACTTAGACTTAAAGAATTAAATGGTATCTTGCCCCATTAAAGTTTCACTTCATGTGAATTAACCAATCCTGGTCACATCATGATAGTGCCAAAATGAGGTTGCTCCAACACCGTCATATCTTGAAAATAAGAACAAAGAGTATGAAAATATGTTTTAGGAACACTTTTGGTTAGAACTTGTTTCAATATGTGCATATCCACTTAAATAGCTTCAGTCTACAAGAATTTTGATAGTTTGGAGCTACTAATCTTGCTTATCACTATGATCATTAATATTTGATTTCTTCTTTCAGCCACTAAATTTTAGTTAGATGAAAGAGAAAAATTATATTGGGGAAAAATCTCATTTTTCAAAAAAAAATATTACAAATAAATCAATCACTTGATCATTTTTAGTGAATCTCCCATAATGATTACCACCTCTATCATACTGATACACCAAAATAATGTGCAATTTTATGTATTCATTTAATGCTTAAATTTGGTGATATGTGATATTGCACTTTAAATTGCACTTTAAAAAAGGATATTTTTATGTTTTGTTGCAGGCATATCGATTTTAGGCAATTGCAGCAAAAAGAAGCAGAAAGGAAGCAATTTAGAGTTAAAATGAAAGATTTCAACATCCTGACGCTAGAGACACCATTTTTCAGAGAGCTGGTGCTAGAGACACTAGAAATTGGCATCAGAGACACCATTTTACAGAGAAGAACGCCAAAAGTGTCAGAATTAGCGCCAGAGGTGCCAGCATCCAGAACAACCCAGACTTCAGTAGGCTGGCGCCAAAGGCACCAGAGACAAAATAAGAAAGAGTAAGGTGGTTAGTGATTATTTTTGAGCAATTTTTGAAGGTTCCAATCTATTCAAACACCTCATGGTGTGATTCAATGCATCTTGACACTTTGGAAAGGCTATTGAATGAAGGGACTTGTCTCTTGATGTGAAGAAATGTGCCTTTTAGGAAAACAGAAGGAATTTTGAATTCTCTTTGAAATGAAGGCTCACCAATATTATTAAGAGAATAGTCTAGAGAAGAAAGAGGGTGGCAGCAAGATTTGAATAGAGTATTTTGTGTGAGAGAGAAGTCTTTGGAGAAGAGATGATTTTCTTCTAGAGTTGTAATAATGTTAGCCATTAAGAAGGTGAGAGATTTATTCTTCATTATATTTCAAGAGAGAATTGAGTGTGATTGTAAA